ATTTATTTTTATTTTTAAACCTCTGCATTTAAAGGGGGAAAGACTTTTCAGAGTACAATCTGGAGTCTAGGCAGGGAAATGAATATTCTTTTATTACCTTTAGAGCCAAAGATGCTACTACCGAGTTATTTAAAGGGATTACAATGAAGGATGTTGACTTGGAAATGACTGTTAACCTCCTTATCGGTGTCAGGATCCATATAGCAGCAAATTGGAGGTGAAATTTCACTCCATCTGTTCTTGGAATGATGTAACAGAAAATGGAATATAGTAAAACTATTTAAATTAACTTACCAAAGAAGGAGTAACAAACAGCAATCAAGTAATTTTGGTAAAAGCTGGATTTTAATTAGGATGCTCCGGAATAAAAGAAGCAGGACAGTGTTCAGCTTTATGCTTCCTTTGCTGTATAAGTTGTAACACATGTGCTTAAAAGGTACAAAATCTTACAGCCAAAGGTCTTGGGCTGAACCTTCAAATGATATAGCACACAGTTTACAGTATGAAGGCCATTTTTAGGCAAGTGCTGAAGCTGAAATCTGTCTTTTTTTTTCATTCAAGGGAATGATACACCCTGACTTTTCATTTGAGTGGTTTGAAGAGTTGGGGAACCGCTCCACAAACATTAAAATTCAGGGTTCTGCTTCGCTTCCCAGTTTAATTACTCAGAAATAGCAATGGATTCTTTTGTTTGTTTATTCATTTTCCAAAATTGTATACAGCTTCATTGTTAAAAACCTCAGACCTCTAAGTAAAATATGTATCAAAATGATCAATCAAAGTCAGAAGCTGAAACAAGCTGACCTAAAAAATCCAAATTATACATAAAACCAGTACTTTGATAATTGCATAAGGTAAACACACATACATACGTTTAGTGCTTTTTTCTGGGGGTACGCAGGGTACACATACCCCTAAACACTTGTGAATCTTTGTACTTTTGTCCATTTACTGTATTTATTTCCCCCAATTTGAACTATAAAATGTTGATTTTCTTGAGTCAAAATGAGAGTACCCCTAAACAATTTTTGTTTAGAAAAAAAGCACTGCATAAAACCAGTAGTCAAATGTGAGAGAGAGAGAAAGAGAGAAGAAAATGGCCTATCAAAATGCCTGTCAACCTTACATATTTTCCCCGCTCTTGTACTGACTGCATGGCGGGTTGTTCTGAAACTGCTCCTCTGAAGAGCTCCAACTTCTGAGAGACTTTGCAGCCTCCCTACTTTTATTGTGCAAGTCTTTTCTAACTTGTTGAAACAGTGGTGTTCATTGCACATTGGAAGCTATTAGAAAACTCTGCTGTGAAAACTTGAGTGAACCTGTTTGCTGCGGACTAGAACCCTCAGGTCCACAGTCAGATTCACCGAAGCAGGGGAAAAAATATGAGGGGAAGCAGTGATGCAAGTCTTGGACAAGTCTGAAGCTTCTCACTGACTCTTTTGTTTTAAGCGGAAGCTGTGGAACAAAAGTCAGAACTAACAATGGAAGAAAAAAGCGGTTAAATAGTACTAATGTACTATGTCCATGAATGCACAAGTAAAACGGGGCTTCCTTTCCCTATATACGACCTAATCATTAGCCTTTCTAAGTGGTGTGCATAAAAATAAACCATGCAGAAAACCAACACTGTGAAAATTCTTCCTAAAACCAGACAAAGACACAAATACTAGCTTAATGGTTGCAGGTACAAGAAACCCTTTCCTTGAAAGTTCAGCAAGGGGGTGCCTGCCTAATCTCTCTTTTATTAAAATAAAATAAAAATTATTTGGTTTTTCAGACTAAAGTTTTACAATCCTATATCCAACACACAAAAACAAGATTCCAAAGAATCTCCTGGACTTTCCCCTTCCCTAATGTGGGTACTATTGTTAATCATTTCTTCCTGCATCTTTTTAAATAATCCTTTTTAAATAATCTTTTTAAATTTTACCCCTCCATTGTGTCCAAAATTCACCATTAAACTACAAATGTTATTCCAATCCTACTAACGATTTTAACTGTTTACAATGGTTTTTTAAGATAAGTTAGAAAATTTCCCCCATACCTTATGAATATTTTGGTTTTTCTGATTTCTGATTCTTCCGGTCATTTTAGCCATTTCGGCATAATCCATCAATTTAATCTGCCAACCTTCTCTGGTCGGGACTTTGTCTTCTTTCCATGTGCCTGCCTAATCTGTTGTGAGGGACCTCCCCAGGCTACGGCCCTGAATGCACAAACTTACAGGGAAACACTAAAAGCAGCGAGAAAGGGCTTTAAGAGCAGCCCAAATGGCAGTGGCTGACGATAGGGTTAAACCAGGGGTCAGCAAACTTTTTCAACAGGAGACCGGTCCACCGTCCCTCAGACCTTGTGGGGGGCCGGACTATATTTTGAAAAAAAATATGAATGAATTCCTATGCCCCACAAATAACCCAGAGATGCATTTTAAATAAAAGCACACATTCTACTCATGTAAAAACACCAGGCAGGCCCCACAAATAACCCAGAGATGAATTTAAAATAAAAGGACACATTCTACTCATGTAAAAACACGCTAATTCCCAGACCATCCGCAGGCCAGATTTCGAAGGCGATTGGGCTGGATCTGGCCCCCAGGCCTTAGTTTGCCTACCCATGGTTTAAATGAGGGGGGCGTGGGGTGAAATTTTGCATAGGGGGACAGTTAGGGCCAGAGCTGTCAGCTTGCAAGAGCAAATTGGGGGGTTTATGTGCGCATGAGCATCGCGAGCCTCTGACGGGATGCCAGAGCCCTTCTGCTTCCTTCTCAAAGGCGGGTGGGCTATGGGATTGTGGCAGGATGGCTCTTGGAGCCATCAGAGCATCGTCCCAAGCTGGGCAGAAGCTTCCCGGGTTTTGGGATGGAGGCTCCAGGGGAACTTTTAGGGGACTGGCCTAGCCCCCCTAGACCACACACCACTGGTGGCAAGGGACTCTTTTCATTCATCTGGAAAAGCCGACCCTGACAAAAACGTCTTCCAGAAAGTAGAGACTGTGGGAATCCGTCCGTGGGAATCTCAGACAGGGATGCTTATACACAGGTTAGGGGCAGCCAGGCTGAAAGCCCTGTTCTGAGTTACTGTGGAGCAGGATTCTGGTATTATGAAGAGTTTAATGAGAAACTTTCTTGCAGAGCGCAGTGACCTACCGGGTAATATAGGGGAGAGCTTATCTTCTTTAGAGCAGTGTTTCCCAACCTTTTTTGGGCAAAGGCACACTTGTTTCATGAAAAAAATCTCGAGGCACACCACCATTACAGCCCCGTGACGTCAGCGCGCAGCGTCACGCCGGGAGGGACGCATGAAAGTGTAAGATTCAATTTTTCCCCCCTCCCCCTTGCCTTTCTTCTGTGCCAACCGCCAAAAAGCCAAGAATCGCGGGACCGCCAGCGGAGGGGGGGAGGGCGAGCGGAGGCAGCGGCGAGCCCCGTTCCTCCCCATCCGCCCCATTCCGTGCAAGGAGCGCGAACAGGTGTGAGAAGGGGGTCAAACCTGCGGGTCGGCACCGGGGAACCTCCAAGCTTTGGGGGTGGAGGGGAGGAGGCAGCAAAGCGAGGCAGGAAGGAGAGCGCGGCTTGGCGAAGTACTCGGCGGCGAAGGCCAGCAGGTCCGGCGGCCGGTGCCGCAGCACCTCCACCGTGTAGCCCTGCAGCAGCTCAGTCAGACCCGGCGGGATCTCGATGCTCATCTTGTAGCCGAGGCGCACGGGAGACTCAACGGACGGGCCCGGGAGAGAGAGAGAGAGAGACACGACGGAGAGAGAGCGGGAGTCCCTGCTCGCCGTCGCCACCGCTACAACTACTGTGGCGGTTGGTCGTGGTCGTCGCCGTCGCCGCCCACCTCTATCTATCTCTCCCCCTCAGCTTTCTACGCGGGCCTCGAGCCGGAGGTGGGGGGTGGCCGCCGCCGCTTTCTCCGCCTCCACGTCCTGCCTCCTCCTCCTCGAGCCCTCCGTCGGCCCTGAGGGAACCGCCGCGCTCGCGCCGCCGCTCTCTGACACGCGAGAAAGAGAAAGGAACGGAGCGGCGGGGTAGTCGGGGGAAGGAGGGGCCGGAATGGAAGCGCGAGGCGAGCTGCGCATGCCCAGCAGGAAGCGGCGGAGAGCGCCACAGAGAGAGAGAGAGAGAAGCAAGGGAGGGCGGGGAGTGGGCGGGAACACGCTTCATGCGTCACAATAACGGACAAGAGGTGCTCGAGGGATAGATTAGGACCTAATTTGACTTTTACAAAAAAAAAAAAATCTTTCGAATTTTCCCCACGGCACACCAGGCAACATCTCGCGGCACACTAGTGTGCCGCGGAACAGTGGTTGGGAAACACTGCTTTAGAGGCCATTCTTCTGGGATCTAAAACTTTTGTGTGTGTGTGTGTACCCCCCCCCCATATATACACACACAGTGGTACCTCGGGTTACAGATGCTTCAGGTTACAAATGCTTCAGGTTACAGACTCCGCTAACCCAGAAACAGTACCTCGGGTTAAGAACTTTGCTTCAGGAGGAGAACAGAAATCGTGCAGTGGCAGCAGGAGGCCCCATTAGCTAAAGTGGTACCTCAAGTTAAGAACAGTTTCAGGTTAAGAACGGACCTCCAGAACGAATTAAGTTCTTAACCCAAGGTACCACTGTAAAAGGTAAAGGGACCCCTGACTGTTAAGTCCAGTTGCGGATGACTCTGGGGTTGCAGCACTCATCTTGCTTTATTGGCCGAGGGAGCCGGCATACAGCTTCTGGGTCATGTGGCCAGCATGACTAAGACGCTTCTGCCAAGCCAGAGCAGCGCACGGAAACGCCGATTACCTTCCTGCCGGAGTGGTACCTATTTATCTACTTGCACTTTGACGTGCTTTCGAACTGCTAGGTTGGCAAGAGCAGGGACCAAGCAACAGGAGTGTGTGTGTGTGTGTGTGTGTGTGTGTATAGATAGATAGATAGATAGATAGATAGATAGATACACACACACACACACACACACACACACGTGTTTTATTGCTACTTTATTTTTGTTTTGGGTTGCCAAAAAGTGAAAATCCAGACACAAATGCTGTTGAGTTTTTTTTGCAAAAATTGCCAAAAAATCAACACTTCTGATGTGGGTTTTCCTGGATATTATTGACGCTTTTCCAAAATTACAACAATGTTAAAAAAAATCATAGTATATCCAGCTAAAGGCAGGGCATACAAAACCTAAACGTATTAAATGACAACCCCTGTTTTAGGACATAATTAAACAACAAACTCATATCCGTTAATAACAATGTAGCTGTTCAACAGTCCTCCAGAGAATTCTGGGAATTGTAGTTTAGTGGGAGCCTTTTACCAGTTTGTGTCTGGGATAGACATGCTCCTGGAATGCATCAGAGTAGATTTTTCTTTTGCACAGTCAATCTTTACAACTGATCCTTGGCTCCACCTTCAGTCCTTCCTGGCAGAACCAGAGGATTGTTGTGGCCAATCTACACAATTTGAAGAGCTGAGACAGTGCCGGATTCTCTCAAACCACCTCCTTCCTTTTTTCTCAGAGGCTTTTTTCTCACATTTCCTATTTAACACGAAAGCACGAGCATGGGAGCCCACAAAGGTCCCCAGCTGGTACACCTTCCTCTGTTACTGCTGCTTTCGTGCTGTACATAAAGTTGCATTGACACACAATGACCCTTCGCTATGATATGGCTGTAATAAAATTGCAGTCAGGCAAACTTCCGAACTCTGAGCTTTTAAAAAGCACAGCAAACATTTATTTATTTTTTAAAAACCATGCAAATAATATAAGCAAAGGGTGCAAAATAAACCCAAATTAATTGTGCTAGCCCAAACTAATTGTGCTAAGAAACCTTTAGAAATGCAGAGGCAAGTCTTATAACTTTAAAAAGTAACGCTTACGTTGCTGCATGAGCTTTCAAAGGCATGAACCAACTATGTCAGATGCATCAAGTCGATAGTGAAGATGTTCCAGAGGGTTCACTGCATTGCTCTGTGGCAGCAAAAAAAGAAAAGAAAAGAAAAAGCAGGGCATCTTATATAACTTTAAAGACTAACACATTTATTATGCAATTATTATTGGGTTTTAAAAAATATATAATCCTGCTCTTCAGCCAAATCTCTAAAAAGAAATGAAAGAGAAACACAGTCCCTGCCTTCAAGTTTATAACTTTAAAAAACATACAACAGAAGCAGAAAATGCATACCCGCCAACATTTCTCCATTGAAAATAGGCTGCTCTGGTTTTGCCAGAAGCGGCTTAGTCATGCTGGCCACATGACCCAGAAAAACTGTCTGCGGACAAACGCCGGCTCCCTCGGCTTGTAAAGTGAGATGAGTGCCGCAACCCCAGAATTGTCCATGACTGGACTTAACTGTCAGGGGTCCTTTGCCTTTACCTTTTTACCTACTCCACAACAACAACAACAACAACAACAACAACATTTATATCCTGCTCATCTGACTGGGTTAGGACGCGGGTGGCGCTGTGGGTTAAACCTCAGCGCCTAGGACTTGCCGATCGTATGGTCGGCGGTTCGAATCCCCGCGGCGGGGTGTGCTCCCGTCGTTCGGTCCCAGCGCCTGCCAACCTAGCAGTTCGAAAGCACCCCCGGGTGCAAGTAGATAAATAGGGACCGCTTACCAGCGGGAAGGTAAACGGCGTTTCCGTGTGCGGCTCTGGCTCGCCAGATGCAGCTTGTCACGCTGGCCACGTGACCTGGAAGTGTCTGCGGACAGCGCTGGCTCCCGGCCTATAGAGTGAGATGGGCGCACAACCCTAGAGTCTGGCAAGACTGGCCCGTATGGGCAGGGGTACCTTTACCTTTACCATCTGACTGGGTTGCCCCAGCCACCCAGAAAGTAAAAGTGATGACAAGCACGAAACTACCGAATTACAGTTCCGTTGTAAAATCAATGGATTTTATCACACTGCCTGGGCTAGTTGGATTGCCAATGCCACAATATCTGTGCTATCAACACCTGTTTTATTTATTTTTTTAGAAAGTCCACTGTTAATAGGGTAAATTGTATTATTAACAGTGGCCAGTCCCAGGAAACACATTAATAACACAGACATCCTGCCACTGCTGTCAATTAACACAGGTGGTACAAATTTTCTGCACTTTCTTTCCTTCTGACCTCACCAGAAAGAGGAAGACAAAGAATAGTTGGATATACATTTATACATGTGTGTGTATGTGATACACAAACACACAAACACACACATGGGGGGGACTTTAAACAGTGAGTCCAAAAGGAAATGAGCTACAGAAATGTTCAGACAGTGATCATCACCTGCAACTCAGGTAAACACTTCGTGCATCTGTTCATATGTAGTCTAGAAATATATTGGTCTTGAAGGCACTACAAGAGCTCTTCTTGTTTCTAACGCTTTATTCCAGGGTTTTGAGAGGCTATTCAATAAATAGGTAAAGGTAAAGGTACCCCTGCCTGTACGGGCCAGTCTAGACAGACTCTAGGGTTGTGCGCCCATCTCACTCAAGAGGCTGGGGGCCAGTGCTGTCCGGAGACACTTCTGGGTCACGTGGCCAGCGTGACATCGCTGCTCTGGCGAGCCAGCACCAGCGCAGCACACGGAAACGCCGTTTACCTTCCCGCTAGAAAGCGGTACCTATTTATCTACTTGCATCCGGGGGTGCTTTCGAACTGCTAGGTTGGCAGGCACTGGGACCGAGCAACGGGAGCGCACCCCGCCGCAGGGATTCGAACCGCTGACCTTTCGATCGGCAAGCCCTAGGCGCTGAGGCTTTTACCCACAGCGCCACCTGCGTCCCTATTCAATAAATAAGTAACGCCAAATCAATTTCATTTCCATTGTAATTCACTGATTTACATTGTAAACTGCCTTGTGATCCTCAGTTGAAGGGCAGCATTGAAATTTAATGAGTAAAATAAAAATGTTAACAAATGGACATAAGCTGTTAATGGATGAGCAGCTACAGATTTCAAATCTATAGGAGGCTCCTGTTGGCTCATTTATGACGGCAAGTCTAAAATCCCTTGCTTTTTAAATCCATCTCCTATCTATGATCTCTCTCTTGCAAACACTTCCTTCAGTTAACATGAAAAACTGAGCACAGAGATGCTAATCTTCGTACCCCATCTGTTTTTCTTTTCTGTAGTGCAGAGGGAAGGTAGCTTGTGGCTCTCCAGTTATCACTGAGGAAAGACTGTGTTATCTGTTGTTGTTGTTTAGTCATTTAGTCGTGTCCGACTCTTCGTGACCCCATGGACCAGAGCACGCCAGGCACTCCTGTCTTCCACTGCCTCCCGCAGTTTGGTCAAACTCATGCTGGTAGCTTTGAGAACCCTGTCCAACCATCTCATCCTCTGTCGTCCCCTTCTCCTTGTGCCCTCCATCTTTCCCAACATCAGGGTCTTTTCCAGGGAGTCTTCTCTTCTCATGAGGTGGCCAAAGTATTGAAGTCTCAGCTTCAGTATATGTCCTTCCAGTGAGCACTCAGGGCTGATTTCCTTAAGAATGGATAGGTTTGAGCTTATTGCAGTCCATGGGACTCTCAAGACTCTCCTCCAGCACCATAATTCAAAAGCATCAATTCTTCGGCGATCAGCCTTCTTTATGGTCCAGCTCTCACTTCCATTCATCACTAAATTTTATATCCATATTCCACAATCATTCTCATTCACTACTGGGAACATTACTGTGTTATCTACTTGCATGCAAAAGGTCTCAGGTTAATTCCCCCATGAGGCTGAGAGGGATGCTGTCTGAAAAATCCTGGATGTCATAGGACTGGTTAGGCACACAGGAATGGTGGTAGTCACTAGCTGGGGAACCCCCAAGGCAAGAAAGCTCAAAGCCTTGGGAGTGGTGGTGGGTCAGCAATGAGTGGTCAGAAGGAGAAGAGGGAGCAGACTGGGAGGAGGAGGTTCAGAAGCTGAAGAGAGTCTGTGGCAGAGAGCTGTCCAGAATCAAAGTCAGGAGAGGAGGGAGGTCAAGAGGTGGAGATGAGACAGGCAGGGTGTCTCCTCCTACTGCGGCAACATTCTAGTCTCTCCCATGATCTCCCAGGACCAGAAGAGGTATGAAGAGGGAACAGCAGAGACAGGCATGCTGGCCTAGTCTCAAATTTCTTGTAGATGTAAAAGGTAAAGGACCCCTGGATGGTTAAGTCCAGTCAAAGGCTACTTTGGGGTTGCGGCGCTCATCTCGCTTTCAGGCCAAGGTAGGGGGCGTTTGTCCACAGACAGCTTTCTGGGTCATGTGGCCAGCATGACTAAACCGCTTCTGGCACAACAGAACACCATGACGAGTGCCAGAGCGGACAGAAATGCCGTTTACCTTCCCGCCACAGCGGTACCTATTTATCTACTTCCACTGGCATGCTTTCAAACTACTAGGTTGGCAGAAGCTGGGACAGAGCAACAGGAGCTCACTCTGTTGCAGGGATTCGAACCGCCAACCTTCTGATCGGCAAGCCCAAGAGGCTCAGGGGTTTAGACCACAGTGCCACCTGCTTGGGAAATGTTAGGTTGTGTGAGAACATCAGTACATAACAGGAAGGACCTGGAGGAGGAGGAGATTTAGGCAGCTGTGGGAAGGTGAGGACCTTCAGCCTCCACAACTGCCCCATAGGGGCAAGACTCACAGAGAAGGGTTGCTGCGCTCATTAGGCATGGCTCTCCGAGCAAGCATTGTTTCTTCGAATAAAGAGTTAACTTTGCGTACCCTGTGCGATTTATTGCTGGCTGGCTCCCTGTCACTGGAGTACTGCTGCCAGCCAGTGTAGGCTAGGCATTAAAGAGCTAGCTAGACCAATGGTCCGACTCAGTATAAGACAGTTTCTTATGTTCCATGATCCTTGGCAAAGGGTAGCCCCGGAGTAGGGCATTGCTTTGCATGCAGAAGGGCTCAGTTTCTTTTTTCTTTTCAAGACATTTTTTTAATTTTACGGATAAAAATATACAAATAAACACATCAATAAAATCATACTGTATGTAGAGATTCTCCGAATCTCGCGACTTCCCCCCATCTCGTCCATGGAGTCTTATCTTAAATGTCTACAACTGCATATTAGTCCATACTCCAGTTTTTACATTAAACCATATTATCCATAATGTTTTTTACACTACAAGTGAGTCAAAATCCTGCTCTTGTTTCCATCTGCTTACAGTGGTCTCCTAGATAACTTATAAATTCTTCCCATTCTTTTATAAAGTTTTTGTCCTCTTGGTTTCTGAGTTTTCCACTCAGCTTTGCCTTCTTGGCATAATCCATCAACTTGGTTTGCCATTCTTCTCTGGTAGGGACTTTATCTTCTTTCCATCTCTGGGCTAGTAGCATCCGAGCGGCTTTCGTTCCATACATAAGGCTTTTCTGCTCCTTCGGAATGTTGGTACCTGTAATTCCTAATAAAAAAGCTTCTGGTTTTTTTTTTAGCAAAAGTTATTTTAAACATTTTTTTCATTTCATTATAAATCATCTCCCAGAAAGCTTTCATTACCTTACAAGCCCACATATGATAAAAGGTAATCCCCCCCTTTAAATTTCCAGCAGATATTTGAACTTGTCTTGTACATTTTTGCTAACTTTGTGGCAGAAGGGGTGAGTTTCAATCCCTGACACCTCCATGGTCTGACTTGTTCAAAGGCACCTTCCTATGTTCCAACTGAACTGAATTAATCAAGCTCTGTTAGCATAGCCTGTGGTCAGAAATGATGGGAGTTGTAGTCCGACAACATCAGTCTGTTCCCCCGCCCCCTTACCGTATGTCTTTTTTCCAGAGAAAACTCTGAAGTCTTAACCTGGCTGGCCTTCCTTCCTTTAACCTCCCTCATATTCAGTTAAAGTAGCTTTCTTTTTATATATATATATAATTTTTATTAGTTTTTTTAACATATCATTTTCAACAGTAATTAAACATACTTTTACATCTTATTCAAATTTTTGACTTCCATCAATCCTGTCTGAAAATTTTCCAATCTAATCTCTCAACATGCATTTCTTAT